AACAAAGCTGGTGTGGGTCTGCTAGGAATTGCAGCCACTTTGATGGATCATGAGGCCAGATGAAGGGCTATCTTATTCTTCATGCCCCATGGTGATGTGGGTGCAGGTGAGTGTTGGTGAAGCTGTGGGGAACACAGCAGACCTGCCCTCCTGGGGAGCCTCTCTGAGCCAGAGCTACCTTTGGGACTGGCAATCATCATTTAATAGCTGTCTTTAGTCAATTCCCACTTTGTGAGCCATCTATCTTCCCTGAGCAGGATAATATAGGAAGGCACTTAGGCACTTGAATGATGGGCGACAGAGGCTGCCAAGCATTTCCTTCTGCCTGGACTTGCCCACAGTCACTCCAGAGACAGAGAAGTTTTGTCTCTTTCCATGTCCTCAGCATGGTTATGTGCCTCCAGTCCATGTGCCATGACCTTAACAAACCAAGAAAGCCTCTTGCACAGTATGAAAAAGAAGAGGCTGATCCAATCCCAGACCTGACTGACACGCCCGCTCCCCCATTGCACCGGGAGCTGCTGCAAACACCATGTGCGGGTGCAAGGCTCTGGAGACATTCCCAGAGGTGGGGGGCAGGCAGAGGAGGTTTCCCACTTGTTTTTCAAGCAGTCTTTGTTAAAATTGGTCACGGCAGGCTGCACCTCCTGCTGCCCAGGCGGTTTTGCGGTTCATTGGGCGGGCAGCGAGCACGGAGCTGGGCGGGTGAGCACAGCCCTGTGTGTCTCACCCCCCGTGCAGAATGCACCCTGCTCAGTGTGCACCCCGAGAAATGCACGGGCCTGCCTTTAACCTGCTCATCGGCAGGGTGCCTTTGGCAAAGTCCTATGAGCTTGAGAGTCTAGAGCAGGCAGGTGGCCAAGAGTGACATGGCCATGGCTGAGCCATCCTGGCTTCTTTGGGTACCTCTTTGGGACAGTGGGATTTACTGATGAAGGGGTCTTGCAGTGCTGGTGCAGGGTCAGGAGGACTCATTTGAATGCCAGAGGAAAGTAGGAATCAATCCAGTTTTCAACAGCCACGTATTTCCGTGGCATCTTTCTAGTCTCAGGGCTGTTTCTTACATTCTTGGATAATGAAGTTTGGGGTTTGTTTTTCTTTTCTTTCAAGCTCGACAAAGCCAATTTGATGCACTTTGAAAAGAAATTGAAAACAGGCTTCTCTGCTTCAAATTCTGCCAAGGTTCAAGCATCCTGGGAATACAATGTCAAGGATAACCCTCCCCCGCCTCACCCCCAACTAGACTTAGAAAATTTTATCTCCTAGCATCAAAGCTGCACAGCTCGCCACTGTGCCTTCAGAGCCTGGGCTGTGCTGTATGTCCCTCTGATGAGTGAGAATATATATTATTTACTTATTGGCATCCTGGAACAAGCAGTACCTCTCTTAAGCCTTTTTATGGATTTTGCCTGCTGGGAAAAGGACCTAATTTCTGGCAAAGACATGCTGTACTGTCAGTATGTCAGCCTGGCAAAGCAGAGCTGTACGTATGGTTTGCATTTCGGGCTGAATCGAAGCCATAGCTTCAACTGCAGCATTTTTTTACAGCATGGGCTCAGAGAAAGACTCTTTGGAAAAGTATTTACCCAGGGCTTGTAAATACAGTATTATTTCTGCAATGTTTTATCACCTAGGTTATTATTAAATTTGCAATATCAACCGCCAGAAATAACACATACACTGTACTTGCATCTTTTTTGTTTCTTTTTGTTGTTAATGTGGTGGGGAAACCCTGAGCAGCGCAGGGCATGGGAGCCTGCACTGGCCCTTGCCCAACTTCACAGCCCAGGGTTTCAAGTTCAGGCTGAGGCTCTAACTTGTGGTGCCCAAACCCGAGCTCGTGACAAGGAAGACAAAGTGGGTTTGGACAATAATGATTCCTTAACCACTTGGACTGTAAACTGACTCAACATTAAAAACCCAGCAATTGTTGCCATCCATTTGGCATACTCTGTTCTCCGGCCGTGGGTTAAAAAGGACTTTTCCTGCAGTGTTTTGAAGGTTCTCCATGTGGCTCCCACATGCATTCTCCCCCCAGGATACTGGAAGTTTTGTCAGACAGGCTTTTTAGATACCCAGAGATGGTATAAGCAACCAGAGGGTTATTATCAGCTGGATAACAAAAACAATCCTCTGAAAATCCTCTGTGCTGAAGAAAAGGGTTACAGGGGGTTTTGGTGAGAGTGGGATGGAGAGAGATGTGTCTCTGCAGAAGGGTGGGACAGGGGAGGTGCCCAGGAAAGCACAGACTGGGAAAGGACTTGGCTGGATGCAAGACCTGGATGCACTGAGATTTACACTTAGCCCTATCCTTTGGGATTGATTCCATAGATATCACTGCTATTAATTCAGCATACTTTGAGGCCAGAGGAACAGATTGTGAGGCACTTAAAGTGATGATTTGAAAGGAATGTGGGTATCAGGATACCAGGATCAGCCCTTTATATGCCACAGAGTTATTTTGCTATGGTTAAACTAGGATTTAGACATTGCACCTCCCCTAAACTCTTGCTCAGGAGGTCAGACATGGATTGCAGATGTATGGGAAAGAATGTATGTCTGCACTCTGCAGAATTTGCTTGAAATCCAAGGCATGAAGGCTTTGAGTAGCTGAGCTTGAATGTTGCCTGTAACACTTGGTGTTGGCTGGGGTTCCACAGCAAATCATTATCCCATCCAATTGGGAGAGAGCTGGGGAGTCATCACAGCCAGTCCCTTGCAGAAGTCCTGCTGCGCCTCAGGGTGCTTAGGGGTGCTCATGCTCATTCCCTCTCCAGAAAGGCACCTAAAACAATGATTTAGCCATGTAGTTTGATGCCTGGGACAGCTAATGCCAAGACTTGAATGATCCGGCTGGTGATTTAGGACAGGACATCCCTCTCTGGACAGTCTCACCACGGACTAGGTCCTTTCTGCTCTGGGAATAGATAAAGCAGGGGTCCCCCAGCAGGTCCCAAAGCCCTGTACCAGACAGCTCCTGGTTCCAGGCAGAGGCTGGTGTAAACCCTGCCTGAAAAAAGGATTCATCCCAGCAGATATATTTTGCTGCACTACATTGTATTTCTGGGAGACAAGCAATTAAGTGAGAGCTATAAAGCTGAATCACTCCAAGTGCACCATCAATAGCTCTTATAAACTGCATTAAATCTGCTCTTGAAAGGGAGGCATGGATGGAACACCTCTAGGGTTGAGGCCAGTGGGTCGGTGGCTCCTCTTACCCACCTCAGCTGATGCAGTGCCTTTGCAAGGGATGTGGCTCCTCACCAGGGGGCTGTCTGAAACAGTCTCCCCAGGCTGAGGGCATGAAACCGATGGATTTTAGGATAGTACTCTGTCAGTTTATAAGCTCATGCACTGGGGTCGCCTGGGGCAGCTGCTCGTGGGGCAGGAGTTGTGCTGCTGTGGTCAGTGGGAGCCTATGGTCCTAAAAGCCCCATGGCTGGAAATGCTTTTGCTTGCCCAGCTGCTTTCTGGAAGTTATTCTGTCTGCTGGCTCACACCTCCCCAGCTTTTTAGCTCTTTTTTTTCAAGCTTCTCTTCTTATAAACAGTCTCTTATCCCCTCTTTGGCAATATATTGTCCTGCTGTGCCTGCCATGGATATGCTCATGCTTCCAAAATAAATAATTGGAAAAAAAGTATCTACTTGACCATTGCCTTGACTTCCAATGTGGGTTTGAGCTGCTTGGAAATGCCTGTTGAAAGCAGAGAAACGGTGCCAAGATGCTTTTTGTGGCTGCAGCCTCCTGAAGTGTGTGAAGCTGCCCAAACCTGAGTGAATGAGGCATGGGTGCAACACGGTCTGGGAACTGAATTGGCTTGGAGAATGTCACAGTGCTGCCCCACCACTGCCCTCTACTTCAGCCTAAATGGGAATGTCCCATGCTTAGGGCAGCCCCAGCTGTTTAAAGGCAGTTCCTTAGTACTGGGAATCAGAATATTTTAGGATTCTCATATAGCATAGATTGTATCACGGACTCATAGAAGGGTTTGGGTTGGAGGGAACCTTAAAGATGTCTAATTTGAACCCACCTGTCATGGGCAAGAACACTTTCCATTAGACTAGGTTGCTCTGAATTTTATCCTATCTGGCCTTGAACACTTCAGGGATGGGGCCTCCTCAGCTTAACTGAGCAATCTGTTCCAATGCCTCAATACTCTCACAGTTAAGAATCTTTTCCTAATATCTAATCTAAACCTCTCTTTCTGTTTAAAGTCCTTTTTCCTTGTCCTGTCACTCCACATCCTTGTAAAAAATCCCTCTCCAGCTCTCTTGTAGGCCCCTTTGGGCACAGGAAGGTGCTGTAAGCTCTCCCTAGAGTCTTTTCTTCTCCAATCTGAGCAACAACCCAAATTCTCTCAGCCTGTCTTCATAGGAGAGGGGTTCCAGCCCTCCAGGAGTTTGCACCCTTTTTTATAAAAACATAGCCAGTCACAGGTCCTCACTGACACTTGGAGCTGCCTTGCTTTTGCTGGATACAGCAGCAGATGGGCAGAGCTCCAGCACACATTGAGATATCCAACTTATGGGTTCAGTGTGCAACCAGAATAGTGAGGGTGTCCAAGTAAGGTCTGAAAAAGAAAACCTCTTAGGAACTGGAAAGTGTTCACATCTAGACAAGAATTCGCTCTGGTTTGGTCTTCTTTTTTTCTTCTTCATTTCTTGAGTCTTTAAAGCTAAATATTTGACCACATAAAATTCATTGCCCATAAGGTCATCCTGTACCTCAGCGCTGCAGATATGGCGGCCTCTGTGTGGGGAGTGAGCCCTTGCTCTGATTTGTTTGTGTAGGGACTGCAGCTGATTTCTGGCACAAATCATGGCACCAGCAATCGCCCTCCTGCTGCAGAGCTGTGGAGGCAGCGAGTGCTTGTGGAATGCCTCTTGCAGGGATCACACAAGCAGAGAGGCTGCTCCTCTAGGGCAAACCCTGCCAGGACTCTGCCCGCAGTAACACTCCAGCATCATTCCACCCTTCTGTCCCCGCAGGCCCAGCGACCATGGCGACGGACGGGGATGAAGCCCCCAGCCCCAGCGGCTGTGGGGGTGCTGCTGGCCCTGGCCCTGCTGGCTCTCATCCACCTGCCCCCAGCCCCGGAGCACTCCCTGCTCCCGCTGCCGGCCTCGTCCCCCCCTGAACCCCCGAGAGAGGTGGCTGCTCCCCTGTCTGGAGGACAAGCCTACAGAAAAAGGCTCCCCATGCCCCGCACTCGCCTGCAGCAGGAGCAGGCCCCTGGCCGGAGCAGGAGGCAGCGGATGGAGAGGGACGCTGCCCCATGGCTCTCTGCTGACGACCTGCAGAAGATGTGGCTGCTGTCCAGTGGGCAGGTGGTCTCCAAAACTCGTGTCCCTGCCCACGGGCAAATCATGCGAGTGAGGCTGCGTGCCGAGGGGGATGCCGAGGGAGATGCCAAGGGGGATGTCTTGACAGCCAGCCCAGAAGGAGACTGCCAGGATGGGCGCTGTGGGCTCATCAAGCGCCCTGGGGACCTGTACGAGGTGCTGGCCTTCCACCTGGACCGGGTGCTGGGGCTGAACCGCAGCCTGCCCGCCGTGGCCCGGCGCTTCAGCAGCCGCCTGCTGCCCTACAGCTACACCAACGGCGCCCTGCGCCCCATCATCTGGTGGGCTCCTGACCTCCAGCACCTGGAGGATGCCAACAATGACCAGAACTCCTGTGCCCTGGGATGGCTGCAGTACCAGGAGATGCTGCAGCCCCACAGGCCAATGCTGCTGGCCAGGGATGCTCCCTGCTCCAGCATCCCACACAGCGAGTGGAGCCGCCTGGCCCTCTTTGACTTTCTTCTCCAGGTAGGGCTGTGGTGATTGAGGCCACCTGTTCTGTCAGCTGTGGCACCTGGGTTCCCCTGCACCGGCACCTGTATTGTCTGACCATGGTCTCCTGCTCTGTGGGGTCACATAGGCTGTGGTTTCTTGGGATGTATTTTCACTCATCAGCTGATGGGCAGCAGCAGAACTTTGTGCAGAAGCACTTTGGCCTGAGTATGGTCCATGTTTGGGACTTGCAGGAGGAACATAGGCAGGTTGTGGTGAGTCTGTCCTCATGTGGGTGAGCTTTCTGCTGTTCATTTTGTGCTGGCAGAGGCTTGAGACATCCCTAGGGCATCCCTAGGGATAAAGTAGCATGTCTTGTATCAGCCCCATCACATCCAAACTCAGGATGTGCTGCTCACACTGGAAATAAGGAGCCCTGCTTTGGACAGCACTGCCTTCCTCCTCCTCGGCATTAATAGCACTTAATCTTCTGTCTGGAAAATCACACCCTGCTGCTACAAGGGATTACAACAGTATTTCAGAGAGTTATCAGGTCTTGGAGGGCAGCTGTGAGGAGGCAGAAGTGATTTCTGTGGAGAAAAAGAAAGCCTGTTTAGGCACCTGGGGGCTGGTTATCAGACAAGAGAAAACTGCCTGAAAGGATAAGTATTAATACAAAAAAAAAAAAAAGAAAAGAAAGAAGGGAAGAAAGAAAAAACCCAAACTACTAAAATATGTTTTCCTTATTCTTTCTCCTTTTTTTACAACTATGCCTGGAAGAGGTGGAGCAGTTCTGGCTGGGCTTGAAAATATTTCAGCTGAAACAACCAGAGAAATGAGAAGATTAACCAATCCCCTTCCCCAGGCCAAAATACCACTGAGTGCAGTGGAAAGGCCAAGGCTGCAGGAGAAAGTATCTAGCTCTAAGGAGAGTTCCTCCTCAAGGGCTGAAGCAGTGCAATGATAAATTCAAGGGCAATCCACAGGTTCTCCTCAATAATTCTAATGGAATCCTCCCATGCAGAAAAGTCACATAAAGAGTCTGCAGGATATTATACAAGTGGAGTAGCATCTTTCAGAAATGGCTTTAGCATCTCACACCTTTGCTAGGAAAGGAGAAGTTGTGAGATTTGAGCCCTTTTGTACATTGGCATTGAAATCTTAGTAGTTTTCTTCAATTTCTCTTAAAATTTGGCTTCTATGTTTATTTCTCTTGGTATTTGCCATAAGGAAACCCCTCACTATGTGCAAAGTTTTAGTGGGGGCAAAATGCCAAGCCTGGTAGAAAAGGGGCAGCTGCTGATGGCTTTGTCCAGAACTTTAAAGAGGACCAAAACCAAATCAACTCTGCAGCCACATCCTGCCCTGGGACACCCTCTTCCCATCCAGGGGGAGAGCAAGGAAATTTCCCCTAGGAGAAGCCATCCCAGGCTGAATCATAACTGGAAAAACCTATCAGATGGAAGGAGATGCCCCAGGATGGGCGTAAGAGGGGCTGAAAGTGAGCTTCTTGTAGTGTTTGGGCTTAGATATAGGAGGTGTGGCTCATGTATTTGGGTTCTAGCAATAATACCACCATTCCCATGAATTAGAGATGTTTAGACTCTGGAAACAAGAAATTAATACCAAAAAAATCAGGGGAGGGCCAGGGGAGAGAGGGCTTGTCAGCATGTCAGGGCACTCTCAGCATCTCCACAGCCATCTGGTCCCTCTCCTGGGGCTCCACTTGGACACCAGATCTGCCTCCATCTCACACCTCTGAGGGTTCAGCACCAATCCCCCTTGGTTTCACAGGTGCTCCTGGGCGGGCAAGTGGAGTGCTGAGTCTATTTAATGTCTCTGTAATTTCTCTCAGGTTGCCTTCACCTTCTGTGCAGCCTGCAAAATAACATAGCAGGTGAAAGAAACTGGCGTGCTGAGCTCTCCAGTAGGCAGACTGAGGAGATGTGTGGAGGAAATGTGATACTTTGTTCTGTTTCCATGTGTTTTGTGACAAGATGCTCAAGCACTTTTTTAACTGGAGTGTCTCCCAATGGAGAAATATTGACCTGAGTTCTTCATTAAATCTCAGAAAACAGAGAGGTTTAAGAGGCTCCAGTGTGGGACTAATCCTTCTTCTCAAATGGAATTAATGGAATGGAGATCACAATTCGTGTTTCCCTGCAGCATCTTCTCCAGTACTTGGTCAGTGTTTGGGTTCAGACTGAACTCTGTGTCAAAGCACAGCCTGTAATTGGTAATTTGTGCTAATTACCAGGGTGAAGGGAATAGGCAGCCTCTGTGGATCACTTGGCTTTTGTCTTGTTGTCACCTGTAGATCCCTTCTGGATCATCTGAGATCTGGTCCAGCCCTCCCAGTGGCTCCAGGAGCCTCTCTGCAGCCCAAGCCTGCCTCCTGGGCTGGCACCAGCAATGCCAAGCAAATCAGTGAGTCAGCCATTTTCATGCTGCAACAAGAAAATATATTTATTTTGAATTTTATATATATTTATATCTATTTCATGTATATTTAAAGGAGCATATATACATATGGGGCTTTTTTGTAAACAGGCCTTGAGAGCTGGATGAGGTGAGGCAGCTCCCCTACAGGGTCATGTCAACACACAGCCATGGGGAGGTCTGTTGACAGCCAACGAGGTCCTGCCTGCCCCACAAATCACCCCAGAGGATGTACCAGCTGCTTCTGACAAAGCTGAGGAAGCCCCATAAATACTGAGGTCGGGTCTGACAGTTTTATGTCTCTTTTTTTTTAAACAAAGCCCTTCATTCCTCCAAGGGTGTGGTTGAAACATTGGAAGTTGTCAAGAAGCTCCAGAGTTTCTGCAGGGAACTGGGATGGGAAGCAGGAGGTTTGACAGCCTGAACGACATGGAGCCTTAGCAGCACCTGCAAATGATTAAACACAAATGTAGCTAAAACAAGTCACCGTGGCCCAACTTAAATGTCAGGCATGCTCTGCATATGCACAGACCGCTTTTTCCCGTGCCAATACTTTTCCATTCATCTTTCCATTGAGAGCTGCTCAGGTTACCATAGGGATGGATGAAAGGTTGCATATGTGAGAGGATCCAGATGAAGCCATCATACAGAGCACCAGGACTCGGAAAAAGAAATTGTTTTTAATGTTTCAGACTCTAGGTTTCCTTGGGTGCTTTGTTATTTTTTAAATTCATTCATTATTGTGTACGTCTTCATTTCAGCTGGAAGCACAACCCCTTTGCTCTGTGCAGATATGGAATGTGGAGGTACCAGGTATCTGAACTCCATCAGAAAAACCTGTCACCATCACTGTTGTCATCACTTTCTTCATGGCAGAGGGGTTTGTGCCTCTATTCCTCTCATTCACCAGTGTATGCAGTTTTTCCATTGCACATCTCCTGAGGATCCCTAGAAATGTTTTCTTTTCCCCTGTACAAGAACAGCTCAAAACAGGACCTCCCCATCCCAGGCACATGTCCCTGCAAAGGTCCCCAAATGTCTCCTGCAGGTTCATGACCGCCTGGACCGCTATTGCTGTGGGTTTCAGCCTGATCCCTCTGAGCCCTGTGTGGAGGAGATGCTCCACGAGAAGTGCCGGAATCCAGCAGAGCTGGTCCTGGTCCACATCCTGGTATGTCTCCCTGATGTCCAAGGGCTGCTCTGGGGCTAACATGGAGGTGCCTGGGAGGTACTTGCAGGGCTGAGGTGGTAGCAATGGGAATATAGGTCCCATGGTGGTGCTAGGTCCCTGGTGGGAGGTATGCCCGAGCATGGAGGAACATAGACATTGGCATATGCTTTCCCCAAAATACTCTCAGGCTTTCTCACTGCATTAAAAAGTAACCTAAGCCCCCACACTGGTGACTCTGCACTGAGTAAATTTCTCCTTCCCATCCTGCTGGCAGGTCCGGAGGAGTGCTCCGTCCCGCCTGGTGTTCATCGACAACGCGGGCAGGCCACAGCACCCTGAGGAGAAGCTCAACTTCAGGCTCCTGCAAGGCATAGAAAGGTAGAAATGGGCACGTGCTGATATCCAGGAGCCCTGTGTGTGCTCACCTTCTCGCTGCTCCTGGTCTCCCTGATGGGGCATCCTTCTGAATCAGGACCATCTCCCACCCAGAACAGGGTGGGTGGTTAGGCTCACAAATACATCCCATGTGCCCCTGCCCTGAAACTAACTCTTTATTCTACACTGGGTTGCTGATGGCAGGCTCCAAAGCCTATTTCCCCTCTTTAATTGGCAGCTGCACAAAAATAATGAATAATCAGGTATTTCAGCATTTCTTGCGCCATTGCCCATGAGGCATTTTGGCATGCTAGAAGCCTCTTGATTTGGAATTTGTTTGGGTGTCTGTCTGATGGAGCTATCCTGCATGCTCACTGTGGGTAGAGTTTTAAGCAGAAGGCTCCTCATCCTGGGTTTCTCTGGGTAGATGTGCAGCTGCTCCCTTCCTCTCTGCTCAGCCTTCCCTGGATAACCCCTTCCCTCCCTGTCTCTTCCTCCCCCACTGCAGCTTTCCGGCAGCGGCGGTGGCCACGCTGCGGTCGGGCAGATTGCAGAGCCTGTTGCAGCGGTCCCTGCGCCTGGACCGGGAGCTCTGGGAGAGCCAGGGTGGTGCTGAGGGGCTGAGACCCCTGCTCCAGACCATTGACAGGAGGGCACAGATCCTGCTGCGCCACATCCAAGAGCACAACCTGACGGTGTTTGAGGACTCACCGCGCTGAACTGACCTCCAGCTGGCTCACAGGGCCTGCCTTGCACATCCCAGCAGCCATGGATGTTATGAGGCTCTATGCTGGTGCTGGTTCTCCACAAGGTGTTTCCCCTCATCTTGTAAGATGATCTGGAGAAGCAGATGGAATCATAGGGAGTAGAAAAGATGGGGAGATGTCTCCTAAGACCACCCACAACTGCTTGAGAAAGGCAACAGTGGTCAAGTTATGACTGTTAGCCATCTCAGTGTGGATTTTCAAAGAAAGGGCACATCCATGAGGGTTTTTTGGGTAACTTTACTCACACAAACACACACACAGCAACTATGAAAACTGGAGGCTTGGACGGTTGAACAGTTGACAGGGACCCTGGAAAGAGTTAAAGAAGCAGTGGAAGAAGTCACTGGCAGCCTTTCCATGACTTGTACTGGGCTTTTTGACGATGCCTTCATTATTTCCAAAACATCCCAGACAGAGAAGCAGGGGAAAAGCAGGGGGAGCTTTCTAAGTGGATTAAACAAAGACAAGACACTAGAGCTGAACTCTGCCTTGCCCCCTGCAGAAGAGGTGATGTATGCCTGTGAGTGAGTGTGAGCCACTGCCTGAAGCTGAGACTAGGCAGGACCTTAGAGCTCAGCAGCACCGGGCAGCAGCTGCCCTCGCATAGCCTATGGTACCATCCCCAGTGAGAGGCATGTGCTGTGTGGCATGTGCCATGATTCATGCATATGCCTTGGTGGGCCTGGGCTTCTGCCAATGCTCTCAATGTTGGATTTGAAGATTTAAATCTCTCCTTCACTCTTTACCTTCACTGTCAGGGGATTAAAGGCAAAAGTACCCCACTTCTGAAAAACACTCTTGGCTGCTCTCTTGGGCATGACTGCATGTAACTCTTCCCCAGGCTTGCAGAAATATGTTTGAACAAAAATGCCAGGCTATTTTAGCAGAAGGCAGTCTAATGCAAAATGCTTTCTGAGCATGCTGGCACCTCTGGCAGAGTCCATCCTGTTCCTGTCACCCCTCAGGCTCTTGCCCAGCAGCCCATTCTGATGAAGCACAGCAGCATCCCAGCTAGGCAGGTCCTCAAGTGTCAGAGCTGAGAGATAATTGAAAATCAAAATGAACAGGAGGAAAAAAGATGCAGGGATGGGCTCCATCAATCCCCACAGTGTGTTTCCCATCTGAGGCATGCCTGGAGAAGTCAGTTCCTGTCCTGTGGGTTTATGGTTTGCCACCAGAAGGCTTTTTAAAGGCCTCCATTTCTCCAGGTTTACAGGCAGAGCATCCATACTTCAGGTGCTCCAATTCACTTGCCTTTGGAAAGTCTCAGTGAGACTGGCATGGGTACCCAGATGCACCATGCTGCAGCTGTCCCATTGCAATAGCTTTGGAGAACGTGGCCACCCATGCAGTGGGAGAGGAAAAGCTGGGTATGGATACCTTCTCTGCTCCATCCTTCTCAGCACTATGTCAGTTTGAGAGCCTGCAAGGGAATGCTTTAACACCCATGCTGATAAGCACAGGCAATTACCTCTTTTCCCCTTTTCCCTCTTGCTGAAGAGAGGATGAAGTGAGGCGCAGGTGACATGAATCAACAAGCAAGCATGAGTGCTCTCAAGGAGCATCAACACTCAGCATCACAGGCACAGCAGCATCCAAAGTGCCATCAGCTTGTTCCTGGAGTCCTGCCCTCCAATTAACCAGGGAGAGCCTTTCCTCCAGCATTCTATCACCCTGTGAATTACCACCCATTTGCTGTACCATGAGATGGATGACAGTCATGGAAACCCTGCTAAAGCCTGAATCACGGGGATTTATTACTGGGAAGTGAGCTTAGCTTGTAAGCTTAAAAGAGAACAAAATAACTCATCCTGGGTCCTATGAAAAGCCAAACTCAGGCGTGGCTGTGTAAGAGTAAAGGATACTAAATGTAACATAATTAAATCCAGAAAATATGCTGGGGAAAACTGAGGTTACAAGAGAATTAGTTATGATGTACAGCATCAGTCAGTCTTTCTTTTTCTCATTAAAGTGAGAAATTTCATTAAAGGAGAAGTTTTCATCCCATGTAAGCCAAGTTCTCAGCAAGAATCAAGAGACAGGTGGGGGCTCTGTGCCCCCAAAGTGGCCAAAGCTGTGGACACTGCTGAGCTGGACCAGCAGCTTTTGCCTTGCCTCTGGTTGCATCTGCTTGACCTTAACATTGCACAAGGTAGTGGGGTTTTTTTTTGCATTTCTTTAGTTGTAATGTGAGTTTGCTGGCTAAACACATGTGGGAACATCTGTAAGCAGTTATACATGTGAATAAAAATCCCTCATGATTTAACAGAGAGCCATGTATGGATAAATGAGAGAAGCAAAAGCCAAGATCTTGCTGAGACTGATCATTAATCTTCTCTAATTAGTCTGTTTTTCCATGGGTTTGCCTATGTAACCAGCAGAGGCTCTGAACTGCAGTCATGGCTGTTCAGAGGAATCCTGTGGACTGCTTGCATCAGACTTTACCATGTCGTATTGGGTTTGGTTTACTCCAGCTACCAACGTGTTGTATTTCCCATAACAAACTTACTTTTATGGTTATAATTACTTTATAGTTATAAACATTCGTGTGGGGCCATGCTTGACAAATTACATTTCATCTGTGCAGGAATGCTGTTTGACCAAATTTTACTGCACATCATCACACATCGTGTCAGGGTGTGGTCACAAAAAAAGATGGTCCAAGCTGGCTGCAGGATAGCTTTGTCTTTAAGAAAGCAGTAGCAACAGCTAAGAAAGGGAAAGAGCAGTGGAGAGATAAGGGCTCCTTGACTGGGGGAATCCCTGCAGTATCCTGCTCACTCTTGGCACATTGGAATGTGCTCTGAGAACAGCATCTGGGAGCATGGGCACGCACCTCCACGGACCATCACCAGGAGGGAGCTGCTTCATTCCGCAGTGATGCGAGTGACATGATCCGTGTTTAACAGCTCTCTGGCTGGGCACAGCCCTGCAGCTGGCAGAAAACAGGGCTGGGGGTGGGAAGGCAGGCACTCACACATGCAAACACGGTCTGTGCCACTGCTCCCGTTCAGCCTGATCTTAACCTCCAAAGATGGTGATCCCCGGGCACCCCCAGCAGCCTGCTCCAGTGCTTCGCTGCTCTCACCCTCCATAAACTAAATGCCCATTTGCTGCATTTAAGGACCACTTCTTAAGCTGGACACAGGACACTAAGTAGTCTTTTATGCAGCCCCAGCACACACTGAACCTTTCCAATGGCCAGGGGTGACACCAGTGGGGTGGCACTCGGGAGTGAGATGATGACCCACCCTTGTGCTTCCTTCCCCTCATCCAAAAAGGGTGGGTTGTCACAGGTGCCCCTCAGACACGCCACAGGGTGCTCTGCAAAACCCACCCAAGCATCCCTGTGCCACACAGGGGAAGTGTGGGCTGACTGCTGCCTAAAAGGCAAGAGCTAGCAAGTAAATCCAAATTCATTGTTAAATCTCTGGATATAAAAATAATCTGGCTTTTAGAAAGCAATTTATTTATGCTTTCAGTACTTACTTAAATATTTATGCGAAAAAGGGGAAAAAAGGTCTGCTCTGACATAAGGCTATTGTTGTAGCAACAGTCTTTGAGATTAATGGAAGTAAATTAGCCTGATGTTTTATTTACATCCAGAAAAGCAATAGATAAACTCTCCTTGTGATGGATTTTCTTCATTAGCTGGGCGAACGCCTAAGGTACAGCTCTTGACATTGTTTCTTCCATGCAGTTAGACAAACAGTTTATCAAAGGAGTATAAAATTGTCAGGAAAAGAAGCAGATTAATGGCCAGTGAAGTGAAGATCATTGAATTTATGATATAAGTAGCAGTATCACTGGAGCTCAAGAAATGGCTTATTAGATAAGCACCATGTACACACACAGGGAAGTGCTGAGCCCCCCCGGATCTGCCGCATTGTCATCGGCTGCTTCCCAAATCCCAGTGGGGTGGTCTCCACACTGAAGTTTCCCTTCCCTCCTCCTTCCTTCCCGTTAGGCTTGGGTTTATTCTGTAACTCTCTCATTTAAGCTTGCGAACATATGATTTTCTCTCAATTAAAAACCCTTAAGACTTCAGAGATTATAACATGTCTGTGCTGCTAGAACCATTTCTGCAACCTATTTTGGCAATTTTGGCTGCTTTTACACCAGTGATAATCATGCCAATATCAACAGCAATGATGTACATGTCTTATGATTCTTTGTAAAAAATCCCCCCACATTATCAACTTATGGATCCCATATGGCTCCTGCAGCAATTACCTCTGGAAGGATAATTACCTGCCAGATAAGGCAAATGGAAGAAAGGAGACAGGGGACCTGGGAGAAACAAAACACTCCTGAGGATGGCAGAGGGGCTGTGCTTGTGGTTTCCTGAGGTCTCTGCCCTGCCGGACATGGGCTCAAGTTTTCAAGCTTCAGAAGAGGGATTTTGGGTACAAGGACTACTAAAAACCATGAATTTAGCTGGTGCCATAAATCTTGGTGTCCAAGCGCTGTCTCCAGCAGATGGCATTGGCTCGACAGGATGCCTTTTCCCAGTGCTTGCCAAGAGCGTCTTAGAAGTTTCATCTCTGGACTGGCAGATTTCAAGCTGCTAAAGCATCATTAAGTCCCTAATTCCTTTGCAGCCTAATCCGCCCAGCTGTACTTTATATCTCTTCACCAGCACCACCTTTCTCTCCCCACATTACTTTCTTTCCAACAAAAATCTAGATTTATGGAAGCAGAGCATTGCTCAGTGCTGGGAGCAAGACTGAGCAAGTGGCTGCTTGAAGAACAAATTGCCACAGCAACCAGGGCTCTTCCCACCCTAGTGTGGACCCAAATGTGGACCAGGTGCACAGCACCCTCAGGATTTTTGGACTGAAGATCTCAAATGGTGGTCAAGACCAGGAGTTTTTCCCTGGAGCTATTTTGCATAGCTGCTGCTTTGGTAGGATTGTCTCTGTTCCAGAGAACTCATAAATTCAGAATATTTTGAATGGGCCCTGCAGCTGTCCCTGGGATGGATTTTAAAAGGATACATCTCT